AAATCCTTGTGGGTTGATTGCGTTCCTTGGGTAGACGATGCCTGAATCTCCGTCTTTGTCATTGAATAAGCGAACAGTAAGAGAGAGCAGCATGGGTAAACTTGCTAGGATATTTATTCCTTCCTTGCCTGCTTCACCATGGACACGAATGGAGAGGCGAGACAGGTTGACTAGTGAGCTGATTTGAGGGCCCATGCAATTTAAGTAACGTGTATTAAGAACAAGCTTTCGAAGTGGTGGTGGAGTAGGGACACACGAAGCCATGAATGAACATGTGGCATCAGGATCACTCTGCCACACACGTAGTTCTCGCAGGTGACTGAACAGCCTGGAGAGCGTTGAGATACATGCTTCCTTGTGATCCTCCATATCACGTAATTCAGTAGAGCATGGCCAATCAATTTTAAGTAATTTCAGATTGGTCAGATCACCGAGTCCTTGGATAAACTTTACAGATTGAATACCCAAATTGATCGTTGATAGCTCTTCCAACGCCTGCAGACTTCCGATTCCATCGGGTAGGCGCACCGACGGATAGACATGAAGACGCACTAGCTTCTGCAACTGGATAATACTTGCTGGTAGCTTTTGAAGACATTGCCTTTTCACATCTAGTGTCTCCAGATGTTGCAGCTTTTCTATATCCTGTGGAAGCTTGCCGACCAAAGCATAATTGTGTATCCTTAAGTACTTCAACTGACCTAAACTTTTGACATGTCCAATAGAGCATTTACCATATTCAACCTCAATATTCAGCACTCGCAAGACTTGGCTGTTTAAGAACTCTGTGGCATGCTTAGTAACCAGAACTGAATTTGAGCCAAAGATATTGATGGATCGGATCTGAGCTCCATTTTTTATTGTCTCGGCAATCTCTTCCGCCCGGGAAGAAATGTCTTTTTGGATGGATAGACGGCGAATCTTGTTCGAAGAATAATTTTTAGAAAAACCATTACCATTCCATATAGTAACAAAGTTGTCCTCCACGGCCTTTGATACAATGAACTCAAGTATGACATCATGAACTCTGCACTGTTTCACTGTTGTGCCGTCTCCCGCAACCTTGGTTGGCTGCACCAAACTTCTATTGATGAGCTCATTCAAGTAACTTCTCCCTAGCTGCTCCATACTTTCCCTGTCCTGTCCAGGAATCAGCCCTTCGGCTACCCATAGCAATATCAACTGTTGGCAATCAATCAAAGAATCCTCTAGAAACACACTCAGATATAACAAACAACTCTTTAGATGGTGAGGAAGGTCAAAGTAACTCAACAGCAGAATTCTTTTCATCTTATCAATTGGAGAATTTTTGTCAACTGCAGCAGCAATAGACCTCAATACATTGACCCAGATTTCCACTGCTTTGCTTCTGTTTGCTAATAAACCAGCTATACTGATTATGGCTAGTGGTAAGCCGCAACATTTCTTTAAAATATCATCGGATACTTTCCTCAAATCTGGGTGGCAATCATCACCGGACAAAAAAAGCCTCTTAAAGAATAATCTTTGGGAGTCCTCATGACTAAGGGGCTTTGCTTGATACATTTGTGCAGCAATACCAGTACAACAAGATTTGGCTACTGCTTCAATGCGTGTTGTAGTAATAATTCTGCTTCCATTGTCATTGACAGGTAAGGCAGATCGTACAAGCTCCCATGCTGATACACTCCAGATATCATCAATCAAGATGAAGTACCTGCATACATTGGTTGTGGAATCACGTTATTAATTACGTAAGGCAAACCATGAATTGAAGCTTATTCCAGTGAAGTTAAAGATGACGGAGAAATGAATCATTTTTTTAAATTCCCAGAAAATTTCATAAATGGCCTAATAATTAGGTGAGCTCATGTGATGAACAAATATTGCAAGACATTATTCTAGCTAGATGAACTGGTTAACTATTAGAAAAAGAAATAATATTGATTACCTCTTGTCCTTTAAGCATTCTTTCACTGTGCGGATGAGCTGCTCAACTGTCTCTAACATCTGTGACTGGTCAAAATGGCTCTTGCTTATCTGAGACAATATATCTCTAAGAAGTTTCTTCATATCTGGAGTTTGTGATACAGACACAAAAGCCCGGCTATCAAAAGCAGCTTCAGTGATTTTGTGGTACACCTCCATGGCGAGAGTGGTCTTCCCCTGTCCACCTATCCCATAGATGGACACCACCTTGTGCTCCTTGTCTTCACATTTCAATAAGCTGATGATCTCCTCACGAGGAGCATCGATTCCAACAAGATCCCTGGCCTCCTGAAAGAGTGAAGGTGCTCGAGGATCGAACAGCACTGGCTGAGATGAGGAGGCGAGGAGACACTGATTGATGTCATAGTAGCGTTTCCCCCGCTCGCTCTGCTCGCTCACGAGCCTCTTGAGTCGTCGGATCTCCTCTGCTATTCCTCTGTCCTTGAACAACGTTTTCACCATTTGAATGGCCTTGTGCACGAAGTTGGCCGTGGAACCTCCATCTCCATGGCTGTGATTGAGCACAAAACGGTCGATGCAATCCTCAATATCGTAGGACAGCTCACGCACCTTGCTCCTCCAGTCTTTGGCGAGTGGATCGATCTGGTCGTCGTCCTTGTCTTCGAGCCTCAGCAGCATGGCTTCCATGGTGCGCAGCTCGTCTTGCAGGGACCGGATCCCTTGCTTGACGTCTCTGGCGAGGTTGTACTTGTCGGTGAGCATGGCGGCCAGCTTGTTGATGACGGAGCCCAACACACCCGTGGCGGCGCTTGAGATCATTTCGGCCATCTTGACTCGCGACTACTGGCTGAGTGAAATGCTAGCTTGCTTGTGCGGTGGTATGAGAGAGGATAGGTGATTCAGTTCTCAATTTAAAGTGGGGCAAACAACAACGCATCCCATTAGTTAAATATATAATTCTCCTCTAGATTCGCGAGAACCACTCCAAGGCACGTTGTCGCTGACAGTCTACACGACGGCTTCAGTTCTCGAAAAGATTAATTTAAAGAATGCTTTTGAATTTGTGAAAGGGAGCCCGTTTTTTGGCCGATCTCAGTGATATGTTTTGTTACATTGTTTCAAAAAATGTTACATCCCTTTATAAGTTTTGGTGGACGAAGAAAATAGCCACCCTCAATGCATATATAGATTCATGTCACTAGCTTTATAAACTAGTCTCTCAATAATAAATAGCTACCTACTTTTGTAATCAAATATGCCACATAAATAATTTTGGTATGGTGTGTAATAAGCGACCATTTCAGCCATCTTCTCAACTCGAAAGCATTCGCCCTATGTAGATTGATTGTTACACATGAGAAATTTCCTTCCACTTTCCTCCGTAACCACTTTCTTCCACCTACTCTCTCTCTCTCTCTCTCTCTCTCTCTCTCAGTTTTTCTATTTTAGCCAGGCCATCTCAATCTACAAGCCATGTGATGATAAGTGCTTCTGTGCTGGCCGATGGTGACCGGCGCGCAACTTGCGATGTCACACCAGGAAGTAAAAATGAAGGACCGAAATGGCGACCAGAGGGGGTGAATGAGAGACTCAAATTTCTTTCAAAAACTTAGGCCGCTGTTCCAAAATCAAACCCCAAACCCAAACACATGGTAGAGGAAAGATCCACGAGCCAACTAGGTGGCTGGATGTCTATGGTAATGACCAAGAGACATAGCGGGACCCTTGAAAAACGACCAAGCAAAGCCCTCGACGAAACACCTCAAAGCCGAGAAGTCTGCAAAGGACCGGACTGTCTGCAGTCCAAGCGCGGACTATTCGTGGAAGAGGGGCCGGACTGTCCACGGTCTACGCCGGACTGTCCGCCGGCCAGAACTTCGAAAACAGACTGGCGAGCAACAGCAGAAGAGCAGTTAACATCGACGTCGACATGTTTGAGGCCTGCCAAATTCTACAGACCAAGGACCAGGCCACCTTCCCACTTGAACTGGCACCGTGCCATCAGGTGCAGTTTGAGCCTTTCGAGCTTTGGCATGGCTCCCGGCTCAAACTCCAATGCCGCGTCACACCAATTACAGAGGAAATGAAACTTGAGCAAACGCTGAAATCCTTGTGGGTTGATTGCGTTCCTTGGGTAGACGATGCCTGAATCTCCATCTCTGTAATTGAATAAGCCAACAGTAAGAGAGAGCAGCATGGGTAAACTTGCTAGAATATTTATTCCTTCCTTGCCTGTTTCACCACAGACAAAAATGCCGAGGCGGGTCAGGTTGACTAGTGAGCTGATTTGAGGGCCCATGCAATTTAAGTCACGTGTATTAAGAACAAGCTTTCCAAGTGGTGGTGAAGTAGGGACACACGAAGACATGAATGGACGTGTGGCATCAGCATCACTCCCCCACACGCGCAGTTCTCGCAGGCACGTGAACAGCTTGGAGAGCGTTGAGATAGATTCTTCCTCGTGAATCATGATCCTTCACATCACGTAATTCAGTAGAGCATGGCCAAATAATTTTAAGTAATTTCAGATTGGTTAGACCACCGAGTCCTTGGATAAACTTTACAGATTGAATACCCAAATCGATACTTGATAGCTCTTCCAACGCCTGCAGATTTCTGATTCCATCATGTAGGCGCACCGACCGATAGACATGAAGACGCACTAGCTTCTGCAACTAGATAATACTTGCTGGTAGCTTTTTAAGATATTGCCATCTCACATCTAGTGTCTCCAGATGTTGCAGCTTTTCTATATCTCGTGGAAGCTTGCCGACCATAGGATAATTGTTTATCCTCAAGTACTTAAACTGACCTAAACTTTTGACATTTCCAAGAGAGGATTCACCATATTCAACTTCAATATTCAGCATTCGCAAGACTTGGCTGTTTAAGAACTTTGTGGCATGTTTATTAATCAGAACTGAATTTGAGCCAAAGATATTGATGGATCGGATCTGAGCTCCATTTTTTATTGTCTTGGCAATCTCTTCCACCCGGGAAGAAATGTCTTTTTGGATGGATAGACGGCGAATGCTGTTCGAAGAAGAATTTTTAGAAAAACCATTACCATTCTATATAGTAACAAAGTTGTCCTCCACGGCCTTTGATACAATGAACTCAAGTATGACATCATGAACTCTGCACTGTTTCACTGTTGCGCCGTGTCCCCCAACCTTGGTTGGCTGCACCAAACTTCTATTGATGAGCTCATTCAAGTAACTTCTCCCTAGCTGCTCCATACTTTCCCTGTCCTGTCTAGGAATCAGTCCTTCGGCTACCCATAGCAATATCAACTGTCGGCAATCAATGGGATAATCCTCTGGAAACACACTCAGATATAACAAACAGCTCTTTAGATGGTGAGGAAGGTCAACGTAACTCAGCAGCAGAATTCTTTTCATCTTATCAATGGGAGAATCTTTGTCAACAGCAGCAACAATAGACCTCAATACATTGACCCAGACTTCCACTGCTTTCCTTCTGTTTGCTAATAAACCAGCTATACTGATTATGGCTAGTGGTAAGCCGCAACATTTCTTTAAAATATCATCAGATACTTTCGTCAAATCTGGGTGGCAATCATCACCGGACAAAAATAGCCTCTTAAAGAATAATCTTTGGGAGTCCTCATGACTAAGGGGCTTTGCTTGATACATTTGTGCAGCAATACCAGTACAACAAGATTTGGCTACTGCTTCAATGCGTGTTGTAGTAATAATTCTGCTTCCATTGTCATTGCGAGGTAAGGCAGATCGTACAAGCTCCCATGCCGATACACTCTAGATATCATCAATCAAGATGAAGTACCTGCATACATTGGTTGTGGAATCACATTATTAATTATGTAAGGCAAACCAGTGAAGTTAAAGATGTCGGAGAAATGTAAGATGGATCGTAGTGGCACACTTTTTTATCAGTAATTATTACACATGAGAAATACAGTCTGTAAACTACCATTATTTAAAAAATATGTTACAACCTCCAAAATGGTAAGTGCCACATTAAAACACCTAGAGACCCACTCAAAAGACATGACGCATTCAGTTCAAAAGCTGAGTTCCAAAATGAGATATTTATGGATATTTAGAATTCTGGTCATATTTTCCAAGAAGTAATTTTACTGAGTATGGATTAGATGGTGTAAAGTAAAATATTTACCAAAATGATGCACAGTTGACTTGAGTTTGTTCATTGTTGCAACATCTTTAATGATGGCATTTGATAGATATGCTGAGCCATTGAAGTATCTGAGGTAATTTTATGTTGTCAAGTTCATTAGGCCAGGAAAAAATGAATCATTTTTTTAAAATTCCCAGAAAATTTCATAAATGGCCTAATAATTAGGTGAGCTCATGTGATGAACAAATATTGCACGACATTATTCTAGCTAGATGAGCTGGTTAACTATTAGAAAAAGAAATAATATTGATTACCTCTTATCCTTTAAGCATTCTTTCACTGTGCGGATGAGCTGCTCAATTGTCTCTAACATCTGTGACTGGTCAAAATGGCTCTTGCTTATTTGAGACAATATATCTCTAAGAAGTTTCTTCGTATCTGGAGTTTGTGATACAGACACAAAAGCCCGGCTATCAAAAGCAGCTTCAGTGATTTTTGTGGTACACCTCCATGGCGAGAGTGGTCTTCCCCTACCCACCTATCCCATAGATGGACACCACCTTGTGCTCCTTGTCTTCACATCTCAATAAGCTGATGATCTCCTCACGAGGAGCATCGATTCCAACAAGATCCCTGGCCTCCTGAAAGAGTGCAGGTGCTCGAGGATCCAACGGCACTGGCTGAGATGAGGAGGCGAGGTGACACTGATTGATGTCGTAGTAGCGTTTCCCCCGCTCGCTCTGCTCGCTCACGAGCCTCTTGAGTCGTCGGATCTCCTCTGCTATTCCTCTGTCCTTGAACAACGTTTTCACCATTTGAATGGCCTTGTGCACGAAGTTGGCCGTGGAACCTCCATCTCCATGGCTGTGATTGAGCACAAAACGGTCGATGCAATCCTCAATATCGTAGGACAGCTCACGCACCTTGCTCCTCCAGTCTTTGGCGAGTGCATCGATCTGGTCGTCGTCCTTATCTTGGAGCCTCGGCAGCATGGCTTCCATGGTGTGCAGCTCGTCTTGCAAGGACCGGATCCCTTGCTTGATGTCTCTGGCGAGGTTGTACTTGTCGGTGAGCATGTCGGCCAGCTTGTCCATGACGGAGCCCAACACACCCGTGGCGGCGCTCGAGATCATTTCGGCCATCTTGACTCGCGACTACTGGGTGAGTGAAATGCTAGCTAGCTTGTGCGGTGGTATGAGAGAGGATAGGTGATCAGTTCTCAGTTTAAAGTGGGGCAAACAACAACGCATCCCATTAGTTAAATATATAGTTCTCCTCTAGATTCGCGAGAACCACTCCAAGTCCAAGGCACGTTGTCGCTGACAGTCCACACGACGGCTTCAGTTCTCGAGAAGATTAATTTAAAGAATGCTTTTGAATTTGTGAAAGGGAGCCCGTTTTTTGGCCGATTTCAGGGGGTGTTTGGCTCCCTAGACTAAATTTTAGTCCTTGTCCCATCGGATATTTGACACATGCATGGAGTATTAAATATAGACTAAAAAAATAACTAATTGCACAGATTACGACTAATTTGCGAGACGAATTTTTTAAACCTAATTAGTCCATGATTTGACAAGGTGGCGGTACAGTGAATATGTGCTAATGACAGATTAATTAGGCTTAATAAATTCGTCTCATAAATTAGTCTGTAATTAGTTTTATAATTAACTCATGTTTAGTCCTCCTAATTAGCATCCGAACGTCCGATGTGACATGGACTAAAATTTAGTCCGTGGAATCAAACACCCCCAGTGATATGTTTCGTTACACTGTTTCAAAAAATGTTACATCCCTTTATAAGTTTTGGTGGACGAAGAAAATAGCCACCCTCAATGCATATATAGATTCATGTCACTAGCTTTATAAACTAGTCTCTCAATAATAAATAGCTACCTACTATTGTTATCAAATATGCCACATAAATAATTTTGGTATGGTGTGTAATTAGCGACCATTTCAGCCATCTTCTCAACTCGAAAGCACTCGCTCTATGTATATTGCTGGCTACCATGCGCGGTGGTGTCGGAGATGGTGGCACAAATAATGGGATTCGATTCTATTTCTATGGCTGAGCACTGGGAACGACACGAAGTTTCCTTCCACTTTCCTCCGTAACCACTTTCTTCCACCAACTCTCTCTCTCTCTCTCTCTCTCTCTCAGTTTTTCTATTTCAGCCAAGCCATCTCAATCCGCAAGCCATGTGACGATAAGTGCTGCTGTGCTGGCCGACGCGCAACTTGCGATATCACGCCAGGAAGTAAAAACAATATTCAACTGGTTGAAGACGAAGCAAACCCCGATATCGTAGGATAGCTCACGATATCCGTGGTGCTCAGCTGGTCTCGCAGGAAGCAGATCCCGCTCTCGACTTTTTTGTTGAGCTGGTACTTCTCGGTGAGCATGGCGGCCAGCTTGCCGATGACGGAGCCCAACACGCTCGTGGCGGCGTTTGCCATCACTTCGGCCATCTGGACTCGCAGAGGCAGAGCACTCGCTCCCAGTGAAATGCTAGCAACCTTGTGTGGGGTGATGTGGTGGTGAAATGCAAGCAACGCGGGTTGGCCGTGCCTCACTCTCAAGTCAAGTCAATGTGTCCCCGCGTTGTCGTCCAAATAATTGTCGACCGCTGAGATCCAGCAGCAGGGAGCACAGCTGGGCAACGGCGCCAGAGATCAGTGCTTGCCCGTGGGACACTTTCATCGGTGGAGGCGGGGAGAGCCGGAGAGGGATCAAAGGTGTGGACCCACATGATAGCCTCTGCCAGACCGCCCAGGCGCAAGTTACTGTACGTACACTACACCTGTCCTGTAAAATTCGACTGCCGGTTTTGAACACTGCTGTCTGCTGCCGCTGCTTCGGGCTCTCACAAAAGCGTTGTGCCAACAGCCAGCAGCATCGGCTTATACCAGCAGCTGAACACTCTGAATTTGTTGCTTTGAGTACTGTGAGGGAGGAATGTCACATCAATTTGTAGCTCATGGCGGCGCAAATAGTGGGATTCCTTTTCCACGAAGTCTCCTACACTTTATTTTATCTTTATTTATTCCTAAAGACACGATGTCCACTTTCCCTGTCTCATTCTCGTCTTTTTGCGATAGACCAATTTTTCTTTGTCGGCCATCTCGACTTGCAAGCGAAATTCTAGTTGCACTACAAACACACGCGCGGTGCCCTTGTCCGAGGTTACCAGCCTTCGCGATTGTTTTTATTTTTACTGGCCCAGAGCGTGAATGAAGATAAACACCATATATGAATTCAAAGTACTAATACAGAGCTACATACCGGTCTCAATTGTGCTATGGCTTTTGCAAAACAATCACTACTGCATAAAATTTTTTGCGAGACAGTGCCCAAGAATTAACGGAGATGGACACAGAGTGTCAGCCTCCGTTAGTGCTTGCCCACCCAGGGATAAGCAACCGCCTCCGATAATGTTTAATAGAGATGGATGACTTAAGCGGACCGCCTCATTTAAGGTCTATGAACGGAGGCGGACACGGTAAGACAACTGCCTCTGTTAATCTATTAACCGAGACGGACGTCGTTAGACAGCCGCTTCCATTAATAGACCATTAACGGAGGCGGTCGCGTTAACGTATCTGTCTCCATCTTCTTTCTCCATGTGCCTTCTCATTAATTTGGACGGGGTTTGAGCTCTAGAACTCCGAAAAACACCACTTTTTAGGCGGAGGGGGGAGTTTTGCTCTTGGATTCTTCAAGGAGGAGACCGTAGGAGTATGGTATGCGCTCTCACATCCTTTTTTGCGCTCTTTTTCAAGCTTTTTGTGATCTAGTCTAGATCTATGGCGGAGGAGAGAGAAACTAGATTTTGTTCTTTATTTTTATGGTTTTGTTTGTAATGCTTCTATATTTATGTTTTTGTGTGACAAAGAAGACAAGCTCTTTACATGCATAATGCAAGTTAATTATGTCTTCAAGTGTGTTTTTTGTGTTAATTATAGATTTTAATTAATGTTAGTTGTATGTAATATGTGATGAAATCCAGTGTACATAAGTTAATTATAGATTTTAATTAATGTTAGTTGTATGTATAATCTGCAATTTTAATTATAGATGGCTGCATTCAAAGATTGTGATGAAGCTCTATACATTTGGATGCAGTTTATTTCCTGAAAGAGAAGATATATATATACATGCATGCACCATCTCATTTTCATGCATCTTAATATATTATTTTTCTGCTATGTACAAGGTTAACTGCCATCATGGAAAGGTCAGAATGGATGTACCAGATATCGAGGATATCACACCCTTTCATACAAGAAGTGACAAAGTTTGTTGACACTGCTCGAAAGCATGCTTTGAGTGTGAATCGGTAGGGAAGCATATGTCTGGTGCTCTCACTGCAAGAATGGGCGTGTCTGGATGCTAGATGGCAGTGATGTCAAATCTCACTTGATCCGGTGAGGTCTCGTCCAGGGATACACGGTTTGGAAGTTTCACGGCGAAGGAGATGCGAGTGGTGCATCCGGAGGAACATCATCGTCAGAGCATGCATACCATGGAGGTGGAGCCTCGTCAGGGAGGCACGGCGTTGTTGGCAACGATGATTTTATCTTGATGGATAATTTTGTCCATGACACGGTCAACGACGGGGGTGATGATGATGAGGAGGAGGATAATGGTGAGGCGGTTTTGGAGGACCCCGAGGACGCGAAGTTCTTTGAGGATTTCATTAACCACCTCGACAGTGATGACCTGCTGCATGAGAACCCCAGGTGGCTAGACAACTTCAAAGAGATGAAGAAGGCGGCAAATGATCCGATCTATAAGGATTGTCCGAAGGAATGGACGGTGTTGCGTTTCAATCTGTAGATGCTGATGTTGAAGGCTCATTTCGGATGGTCTCATGCTAGCTTCAACGAGTTGTTACGTCTCATTGGTTCCCTGCTTCCAAAGGATAACAAAGTGCTAATACGTATCGGGCATGGGGTTGCGGGCGCTAGGCCCAAGCGTGCCCAACCTAGGCGAACCTAGTCGGAAAACGGAGGAGCAAGAAAGCCGGTCATGGTGGAAACTCACCAGAGAAGAAGAAAGGATAGGGACGTGATGAAACGGTGATAGATTTGCAAAAACAAGTATACCACGGCATAGAGAATGATGAAATCTACCTTGTGGTGGTGGTTGATGCCGGAACGCGAGGGTTTAGCCGGAAAAGCTCGTTAGAGAGTTCATTGGAAACCTAGCTTTTTAGAACTTCGGCTTTAGACCCGGGACAATAGGAGTGATAGCTGGAGAAAAGGATTGTACTTCTAGAAAGCATGCACCGAGGAGAACACCGACAAATATATGTCTTGGGTTTAGAAAAGTTTCAGAATTCCTTAATTTCAGGATTTATTTCCTGTTTTAATATAATTCTAGGAAATATCAGAAATCGTATTTAAGCCACGAAAAATCACCGAAACTAGAGAAAATTCTGAGAAAATTCCCAGAGGTAGATATGACCATTATGGATTAAAATAATGAGTTTGAAGCTCATGCAAAGATTATTAGAAAGATCAAGAAAATGATTAAGCTCAAGGAAAAAGGAATTTAATTCTAGAAAAGGTTGGAAAAAATCCCAAAGAGAGAAAATCGTTGTCCTAACGTATTTTGAATCATTTTCACACATAAAGACCAAATGCAACCGGCATGAATGCAAAGCCCTATCGAGTTAAATTATAAAAGATATTTAAAAATCACATTTTTGCACTTTTTAAACTGCTGAAAGCCGTTTTAAATCTTAGAAATTCTAGAAAAACTATAAAATTATTATTTATTTAGTTTAACCTATTTGAAACAACCCCGATTTCCGTGAAGGGAAATCCACAGAGTCGAAGTATAATAGGACCGTTGTAGATCATATTACCCAAATTCCAGTCGAATATCACATCCATACAACGATGATATCAGAGTACAAATAGTGCGGAATTACATAAATTATTACATCGCCGTATTGGCGGAATCAAAAGTAGCATCCATTCAGAACAGCTTGAAGATAAGATCGCCAAACTCGAGCGTAGGAACGAACCCCTCAACCGTCAAACTCCTCGGAGCTATACTTCTCAGCATAACCTGTGTGCCAAAATTTATCAGTATGATTTATACTGGCCACTCCCAACCCTATGAGCATTGCTTTGT